GAAGATGGCACCATCTTATGCCAATATTTTCATGGGCAGACTGGAACGCAACTTGCTACTTCAAGCACCATTTAGGCCCCTTAGCTGGTTGCGTTTCATTGATGATATAGAGATGAAGTGGGTGGAATGTCGCAAGAGCCTCGAGGCATTCATTTCGTTTGCCAACACCTTTCATCAGTCTATCAAATTTACAGTAGACGTATCTAATTCGAAAAACATATTCCTAGATACTACGTCTACCGTAACTGATGGTGAAATCGAGTTCAGTCTCCACACGAAACCCACAGATTCCCATCTATATCTTATGCCAACTAGCTGTCATCTCCCACACACATTTAAGGGTGTGCCTAAGGGTCTAGCCACCAGAATTCGGCGCATCTGTTCATCCCCTGCATTATATCAAGAACAAAGCCGTCTCCTTAAGTCCCACTTATGCAAGAGAGGCTACAATGCCCGCACCGTACAAACTGCTATTGATGAGATGGCGGAACATGACAGGCAAAACCTATTACGCTACAAGGAAAAAGACAACAGCGGCAGGGTCCCTCTGGTAACCACATACCATCCCGTCCTTAAGAACCTCAGCGGTATCCTTCAAAAGAATCTGCCAATTCTCCACTCAAATAAACGAATGGCAAAGGTCTTTAAGGAGCCCCCATTGGCTGCATACAGACGCCCGAGGAACCTAAAGGACATGGTAGTAAGAACCAGATTGGACAATCCATTACCTAACGGGGGCTTTAAAACTTGCTCTGACAGAAGATGTCTTCTCTGTAAGTACAGCTCTGACACAGACAATTTTAACAGCCTCGTTACAGGCCGCAGCTACAAAATACTAGGGAATTTGTCCTGTCAAACAGACAACTGCATTTATCTCATCAGTTGCAAAGTTTGCTCCAAACAGTATGTTGGTGAAACAGGAGATCTCCGCAGGAGAGTCAATAATCACCGTTCTACCATTAGGACCAAAAAACTCAATGAACCCGGTGGGGAACATTTCAACCTTGAAGGTCACAAATGGGAGGACATGACAGTAGTGGTTATTGACCATAATCCAAGATGGACAGACGCGCAGAGAAAAGGCAAAGAAAAGTTCTGGATGCACAGGCTAAAGTCATTCCGCCCTAATGTTATTAACAAACTTAATGACTTCACCAGGATGAATGTGAACTAGACCCAATCCCGGATTGTAACTAACAAGTTCATTCTCTCTATATAGTGTAAACTTTACCGTTAATTCGTATTAGCAATCCTGGAACAACCTACCCAAATATTTACAGCTTACATATTTTGTTTATTTCTTTTTTCCGATTTCCAAATTTATAATATATCCAAATTCATATTTCAAAATTGTCCTTCCATATTATCTTTCTTCAATTTCTTTTTATCATGTAGAGTTACGCTATTTTGAGAGAATAAGACAATGTACGATTTACTGTTGGTCGTAATTAACTAGCGATAATTAATTCGTTCAATTATGTAAATCACACTTCACCAGAGTACACCCGATAGACCAGACGCAATTCATAGCGCTCCGGATTTCTTTGTTCACAACTGTTTATGAACTCCAAATTAAACATGTAACATTGTTAATATTTAGTGTTTGGTAGTTTAGTAGTAGTGCTAGTTGTTTTTGCTTCTCTATTTCCTTTGTTTTTATGACTTCTTAACTTTTTTCTTTGTCCTGAGGAAGGGACAGGTCGTCCCGAAAATTTGACAATTATTATTGTTCGTGTCGTTGGTCATTTTTAGTGCTTTATATAAATTTCCATCCGTGACCTTGTATCTACTTAGTAGATCCGACACTTAGGATATACAGTGTTGTTGGTTTTTAGTGCTTTATATATATATATATATATATATATATATATATATATATATATATATATATATATATATATATATATATATATATATATATATATATATATATTAAAAAGTAAGTATAAAAAGGTAAGTAAAATTTAAAAAAAATATTCCTCATATGGCATTCCATAGCACTGTGTCATTGATTAGCTTTAGATCCGCCACTTATGTGTATAGAAATAGAGAAACGCAGTGACTGGCACCCTAATTTGAAGTTTTGTACTCCAAACACATTGACTGATATTTGTATTAAGTGTTTAATATAAACACTGAACATGAAAAAGACCATTTGTATTTATTTTTAAAAGTTCTTAAATCAATAAGAAACATTTTTTTCTTCTGTCGTTTTATTATTTATTGTGTCACCTAGCGGCGGAAGGTGTTTACAGTACGGTGGACACCATTTTGTGAAAAAGGTAAAAAGTTTTGTAATTATATTACCACTAAATTGTCTCTATTACTCCAAATTGAAATCAAGCAGTTGTTGTGATAAATCTGTAGGGCAATTTTGGTTGTAATATATGAACAACATCTTAGTAAAAAAAAAAAAAACTACTTCTGAAAGTAACTGGTCTTACTTTGTGTCAGAAAAGGAATTTCGCATCGAAAGAAGTCATACACACATTAACAAGAGATTTATTTCATTAAAGAGGAATAATTGTTCTATCATCGCCACTATTATATATATATATATATATATATATATATATATATATATATATATATATATATATATATATAAATGTCTCTGAATTAATTCCTGAGAACACCAAAGCTATGCCCAATCATATCTATATGGAAGCATTCTGAGATAGTGTAGATTCAAGTTTTTTTGTTTTTTTTCAAATCAAGACCCTAGGCGGGAGGGCTGGGCAACAATCGGTAATCAAAGTTTTTCAAAGGAATGCAATGGAAATTTTTTTAATAATCACTGGGCCAGAAAAGATTAAACTGGTGTAGATTCAAGTTTTGTCAAATCATGTACCAAAAGGGGCAGGTTGGGTTAATTTGGACGATCAAATTTTACATGGGTGTATATAGGGAAAAACTTTAAACATATTTTCTCCAGAACAGCAAACCCATGATCATTTGTATTTATATGGAAGCACCATGATCAAGTGCAAATTCAAGTTTGTTCTAATCCTGATCAAATGGATGTTGGTAGTGACCTCAATGGACAATCAAAGTGTTACATAGGAATGCATAGGGAAAAGGAACTATCCGTATAGCGGTTTTCTTTAGCGAGTGCAAAATGGCGTTTTGCTTGATCAACGGTATGCCAATGATTTTGGCGAAATTTTTTTAGGCGGACACAAAGTTTAATGAAGTTGTAAAAGAATAAAAGTTCATGTTTTTTGTTTGTTTGTATGTTGTTTAACGTCCCTCTCGAGAATTTTTCACTCATATGGAGACGCCACCACTTGCCGGCAGAGAGCTGCAAATTTTGTCCTTAATCGGCACTTACGGCCATTGACTAGTGAGGGATCTTTTTCGTGCCAGCACCTACTGCAACACGGGACCTCGGTTTATACGGTCTTATCCGAAGGACCGGTCTACTTTTGATTGCAGGATCCAACCTCCTTAAGCCATATCTGGTGTACTTTTTTTTTTTTTATAAATTTAGATTATTAAAAAAGTTAAAAAATTCTTTTTAATGGATTTGCTTTATTAATTTATAAGAAGATGGGACTTTTCTGTTAATCACAATTAAAATCAATTGCGTACCAAAGATATCAAAAATTTAAACCATAAAGCGATTTATTAATTGACTCCACTTTTGAATTACAGACAAATTATATAAAGTCAATTTTACTAAAGAAAAGTGTAGAAATTCAAGTTCAAAATCGGTGAAAGTTTTAATTTGAACATAAATAACATATATCATATATATCTACACTGGTAATTTTTTAGGTTATTTTGGAGGGGTTTGCCATGTATTGACCCGCATATAACTCGGTGCAACTTTTTGCCAGAATCCGCTGACAATTTCAAATCTATGCTATGATGTTTTAACCTGATTCAAGTAATAATTTTAGAAATGACGCCGATATTTAATTCAAAATCATTACAAAATTAAGTAATGCACACGTAAGATAAATAGAATTATTAAAATATGTACTTGTACTTATACCTAATGCATAATCTTAAAATACATAAATTCTGTAATATATCCCGACTTTATTCAACGATAATCGTCGGCAAAGTTTATTTTTTAAAATATTATATGTTGCTGTTCAAAAATACCAATCTTTTTATGGCTCGCCTATAAGTCGGACATATAGAGATTTGGACCAAAATTTAACTCCCATAAAACCTAATTATATGCAAGTTTATACGGTATATGTTTTTATACTCTGCGTCTGAAAATTTAGGCAACTAAGCACGGGCGCTTGTTTCATACAGTACGCTAGTTTACTAGGCTGCTGTAAACTAGCGTACTGTATGAAACAATTGCCTGTGCAAGTAAGCTAGGCCTAAATGTTGGGCAGTTATTTGTTCTCAAGATAAATCTCATCATTAAAAATTAATACTAAATGACAAGAAATAAATCTTTTTTTTTTTTCTTTTTTTTTCTTTTTTTTTTTTTTGATCGATATATGAAAACTTAGAAAGAAAACTTCATCAATGCGCGTACATCGATCTGTACATTTTCAGCAAAGTTGTTGTGCTGAATTCCTACGCACTGTCTTTGATGTGTAAATTAAATATTAAAGTGAAAGAAAGTTTCCTTTTATTATTTTTAAATCATGATTAAATGATAAGGAATGAAAGTAATATTTTCTTTTCTTTGACCGACGTATCAAACAAAAAATTGGACGGAAAACTTTTTCATCAATGCGCTACGCATATTAAATCAAGGTAACATTAAATTGCAATGGATATGGTAAGAAGACAGTACTGATTTTTACGTTTATTTCTAATGTGTATATTATGTGGAAAATACGGTGATTGAATATCAACTAACTAAATTAAAAAAAAACAACAAAAAACTAAATATATACTTATAACTATGATTTAAAAACAATGGAACTTGGGGGAATTTAACCGGAGACCCAAAACATGAAAACAGTTCAGCATATACCAGGCTAAGCACACTATTGAATTTATACGAATGTTACAGTCCTCGAGTTCATATTTCCTACTTTCGTTTTGATATTTATTGCACGTTTTAGCGACAGAAAAATTTCTAAAACCAACGTTCCTGTGGACAGCTTGAGCAAAGGTAAGACCTTAAAATGTCTTACTAATGTAAATAACTGCATGATAGATCTGTACACCTTCCAAAACTGCACAGAATATGTGATCTCGTTTTCTGTGTTTTTCTGTTTTTAACAGGTCTGGTACAATCACTAGATTTAGCTACGTAGCTTGAATTACCTACATAGCTTTATTTACCTACCTGAAGTAGCTTTATTTAGCTACTAAATCAAACTTATTTCTTAAATAAGAATTTTTCCCAGAAAGTGCAGAAAATTGCACTTTGATGCAGTGATAATTTTCAACTTTGAACTCATCTGAAAACAATTCATGAAAAAATCACTCTTGGAGATGTGTCTTTTTTTGCGCAATTGCAATCAAAGTTGTAAAAGTGTTGGGGCTATATACAACAGTTAATTTGTGACCTAACGGTTACTTCTTGAGTGTAATAACAAAGAAAACCAGTTTTGGTTAACATGAGCACAATGTGAAGTAATCATACTTATCCACGCCTCATCAAGCACAAGGTGTGTACAGTTACTCAAACAATGGGAATACATATTTTCCTTAAAAGTGATCAAACGCAGCAATGTTAAAATTATCTCTGCTTTAGATTGCTTTTTAAATGATACCTAGAATACATATTAGTAGACATTTTCTTGCGACTTTTTGTCTTTTTTTTAAAAAAAAAAAAGCAAAATTGTGAAAAGTTGCCTTGAAATAGCTAAATAAAGCTACCTGAGGTAGGTAAATAAAGCTATGATAGGTAATTTTAGGTACGTAGCTAAATGTACTGATTGTACTGGACCTGTTTAAAAGTAAATCAATGTCGTCAATTTCTCGAATAGGGCAATCCAAATGTTTAAAATTCTCGAAGATGGATTCTTCTTTCAATGTTGATTTGCATGCATGAATACAATAGAATATTATTGTGTATGATTTAATTAATATCAAACGTTTATAAAGATTTTATACCATACTTTTATGTAATATTTACTACCAGATCTATGTTGTAAGCTTTCGACATCAAATTGCAAGTCAAGCAAGTCGTGTATTCAAAACTAAAGATATAGGGGAAAGGGGGGAGGGACGGACTAAGTCTCTTTGTAAGAAAAAATATCAATTTATTAAACATGATGGTATATAAGGTCTATGGCATGTCAAACGTTGCAATATTCGATCTTTTCCATTTGTATTGTATAACTTTCCATTTGTATTGTATAATTTTTATATGTATAATTGTATAATTTTTCATTAGTATTGTATAATTTTTCATTTGTATAATTCTCCACTTGTATTGTGTAATTTTTATTTGTATTCTATAATTTTCCATATGGATTCTCTAATTTTTCATTTGGATTGTATAATGTTTATTTGTATTCTACATTCTTCATTTGTATTGTAAAAAAATCATTTGTATTGTATAATTTTTCATTTGTATTGTAGAATTTTTTAATTTGAATTCTATATTTTCCATTTGCATTGTATAATTTCTTTTTTGTATTGTAAAATTTCTTATTTGTATGCGATAATTTTTCATTTGTATTGTATCCGCGGATTATTTATTTGTTTCGTTACGATTTCATTGGTCAAGTTTTAGCCTGTATCGAATATAGAATATAAAATAAAAATTATAGAATACAAATAGAAAATTATAGAATACAGCTAAAAATAATACAATACAAATAGAAAATTATAGAATACAAATAGAAAATTATAGAATACAAATAAAAATTATACAATACAAATGGAAAATTATACAATACAAATGGAAAATTATACAATACAAATGGAAAAGATCAAATATTGCAACGTTTGACATGCCATAAAAGGCCATCTTTAAAAAAAAAGTTTGTTTACCCTCTCCTGACCGACTGACAGAAAATGCCCCACCCCAAAACCTTTTTTTTTTATTTATGTTTTCTCATCTCATTAACATCTATTTTAACATCATATTCACAAGTGTTTTTGAATTAAAAAAAATTCCCCTACCTAATGACCAATTATTTTCATCCTCAGTCGGGAGAGGGCAACCAAACATATATTTTAAAATATGACCTTGGGTTGGATTCTTTTTACTCCGTAGAGATATACTTTGAAAGTTGCTGAATTTTTAGATGAATTAAATATTTTGATCAACCCTAAAAGAACAATAACAACATATAAATACATAGACAGCATAAAGACAAGCACATTCACTTTACAATACAAAATGGTCACAATTTAAACACTTAAAACATTCATTTAGCCCATCACAAAACACATAAAACATGCATTTAGCCATTACAAAACACAATAAAAGGACAAAAACTCTTTGAATCTCATAGATTGAATTTAGGTAAAAATTATATTTCTCTATGCTGAAATATTATGTAACATTGTTTTCAGAATATGTGTTTTACATGTGAATGGAACTGAGTGATGTATCTCTGTAGGACTGTATAATTGAATTTTAATATTTACATTACATTATGACCTAATAAATTAATAAATTATAAACTCATAAGAATTCAGAATTAAATCTTTTAATTCCAAAAATCTACTTGATTTAAATTAAATCATATCTTGCTACTACTTTACTATACATTCAACTTTATAACTTGAATGACTTTAAAACTTTCACTCTACCACTTTACCTGTTTAGCAAGTTTAAAGTTAAAATACTTTATTTAAAATTATTTTATTTATTATCTTTAATTTGAGTTAACTGTGACCAAGAGAAATTGCATAAGTCGGTTTCCGTTTTACAAATTTATCAAAACTCCGAAAACTTATAACATAATCAGCAAGGTCAGGAGTCGTGGTTCAAGCGTCTTGGGTGTTGCTCTCCAACTGCCAAATATTCTCACATGACCATGAATAAAAATGTTACAAAGAAATAGTTTCAAAATAGAATTAATGGAGGAGAGGAAATACAAATAGATATCAATTAACGGCTTAATTAAATAAACAAAATGTCACTTTAACTGTTCAGCTAAAAGTCGCTCAACGGACATGACAGGGGAGAAGGTGTTGTGTCCTTGGGGTACATTTCACACGGTGATATTATGATCATAAAACGTGTTTATTAAAAGGTTTATTTAGAGTTTATGGGTGTTTAATCATGTTGATATACTCCACAATAAATCCAATTGCAACAATAAGACCACCAGATTAATGATCATAAACAATAATTAAATAATGTAATTTAATCCTTAAATCTACTATATCCCAAATTATAGTTTGAGATAAACCACTATTTAAATAGAGATGTTTAGGATTTTAAACATATAAATAAATAACAATTTATGAATAGTAATGTGCAGCGCTTGTGCAAATGTATGGAATAAATGAATGAACAGATGAAATTCCTGAAATAAATTACTTAGTATTGATTAAAATGAAATAATACTAAGTACAGTTACCACATTTGTAAAGGAGAAAGACAAAATATGGGGGAGTCAAAACAAAAACAAAAAAACAAATATCGACTTGCACAAACCTAAAAAAGCTATATATTGTCAGAGGGTCAGAGGAGGGGGGACTTATTAACACAATTTTCCTCAGATACTTACTCTTTATACCATTTTGTGAGAGTTAGTGTATCCCCCTCTAGATCCGCACATGGGCAGGTCTTTTCTCTTTGGATTGATTGATTGTAGGTTGTTTAACGTCTCATTCGAGAATTTTTCACTCATATAGAGACGTCACCATATACCGGTGAAGGGCTTCAAATTTTGACCTTTACTCGGCACTCAGGGCCATTGAGCAGTGAGGGATCTTTATCGTGCCAACGACTGCCGTGACACGGGGCCTCGGTTTTTAAGGTCTCATCCGAAGGACCCGCAAATTTCACTTCAAAGTGCCGAGCGCATGGCAAAGGAACAGTTGTTACCTTCGAACTCACGACCTCCCGATCACGGAGCGAGCGCTCTACCGACTGAGCTACCGTGAACGGTTTTTCTTTGGCAGATTGCTAATAAATATCAATATGACTTATTGCTTGCATACACATACAATATGATATAATAATTTAACTATCCTATATAACGTATTTGAAATAATTCTAAAAGTGTTGCTTTTATATTTGATATATTGACTACTTGCGTTAATCACACATGCATGAAATTTCTTAACAATATTACAGTGTCAATCAGCACATTCATATACGGTATTACTGACTTTTTTCAGATCAAACGATAAAATGGCAACACCTATATCTTCTGCTCAACATTATGTTGAATGCGAAAATTGTGAGGAAAATCCTGCGCAGTTCCTTTGCAAAACATGTCCTGGTCATCTTTGTGAAACCTGTAAAACAGAGCACGAGACGAGAAAAATAACCAAAAATCACGAAATTATACATCTGCACAGAAATAGAGAGGGATCACTAGGCCTACTGTACTGTGGGAAACATACAGTAAACAAATTAGAGTGGTACTGTTCACCCTGCAAGGAGCCGGTTTGCACAAAATGTCTTATGGAATCCCATAATGGACATAAGTTGGAAGATATAGCTGCAACCTACCAAGATATCATAAGTAAGCTTAAAGAGGAAAAGGAGGAAATAGAGGGGGTGCTTTTACCAAAATATAGAGAAATGTTATCTAAGGAGAAAAGTAAGAAATCAGAGATATCAAAGAGAACTGATGAAGTTAAGCAACAAATAGAAGATCACACAAAATCAATAATGGATCAAGTCACAATGTTGAAAGACAATGCTATACAGAATTTACAAGAAGAAGGAAAGAAGGCCTTGGAATTGGTTGAAGACACAGAAAAAGAAATTGAAAGGAGAATTGAAACACTCAATAGACTCAATGAAGACATCACCAATAACATGGGAGCAAATCCTGGAATTGTATTTTTCACGAATATAGACGCTAATACCTTACAAGATATGCAAGGATTTCCATCTACAGTTAATTACAAACTAACTGACTTTAAACCTGGTGATCTTTTCATATCAGAACATCACTTTGGAACATGTCCAAAATTTTCAAAGTCAAAAGAAACTAACTTGCCAACTGAAGAATTGTCAAAGAAAAACAAAATCGTAAAAGGTATGATGAAAGAAATAGAGGACCTGCAACTGAAACTGGAAACAGAAAAAAATGGGATTGCTCGCATACTTATCCAACTGCAGATTGATAAGTCAAAAAAAGCACTTTCAGAGTTTAAACGAGACAATTTTGAATAAGTTGGTTATAGGAGGGGTCACGTGACTGGTCAAGGAAATGGCCGTGTAAATATCTGCTCCGTGAATTTGGTCAAAAAAGAGTGATTTAAGACTGTGATTTGCAAAAAATTCTTTTCCAGGTTGTTTTTGGAGGTAAAGACTGTAAGAAGATATCTTTTGTATGAGAAAATTCACCAAATCTGGACCAAAATGGCATCGAGTTTGAAAACAAAGGCCTCTCTAAAGGGGAGTACAGGTGACCTAGAAAAGACTGAAAAGTGTTCAGGCGAACAAGGTAACGTTAACAAAGGGGTATCTATAGAGGCTTTAAAGAATTTGCAAGAAAGTGTAGAAGGGATCTCATCTAATCTAAAATATGTAGCTGAACAGTCTGAAAGTAATTGTGATGAAATGTATTTCATTCGATCTGAAAATGCTCAGTTACGTAGAGAAGTGGATTTGCTACTTGCCATGCTTATAAAAATGGACAGAAAAATCAATCACATGGAGTCAGAAATTACTGATTTATGCTCCAGATCAATGCGGGATAACATCCTTATACACAATTTTGCATACATCCAGGGTGAAAACCTAAATAAACGTGTTCCTGAAGTTCTATTGGAAACTCTTGGTGTGGAGGTCGACTTTGTACGTATACACAGAAACAGTGTTAGGGGGGTCGTCAACTCGAGACCTGTTTCCATAACAGGAAAACTGAGGGATCGTACTAAAAAAGATGAATTGCTCCGGGCCCAGAAGGCTAAAAAAAGTGAAAATGTAAACCTTCCATTTTTTATAACAGCCCAAGAACCGGCTTCTGTATTAGAAGAACGTAAACGTTTGTATGCAATCTCAGACTCAATGCGAAAGCAAAACATTAAAACAAAGATTGAGAAGGGGGGTGTTGTAATGCCCGACGGTAAAAGGTATCAGGATCCAATTCCTAAACTTGAAGCTGCTGATGCCCTTCAGCTCCCCGTGGATGAGATACAAAGTCTTGATGACTTTAAAGTAGAGTGCACGGAACCAACCAAGATTAGAGGTTCAGAAATATTCGCCACAGGACAGAGAGTATGCTCCGTGACAGAAGTCGAGAAACTCTATAAAAAAGTTTGTATTGACGCATATTCTGCAGCAGCTGATCACCGCATCCTGGTTTATAGGTTTATGGAAACCAGTGGAAAACTATGTGAGGGATACTTGGATGATGGTGAGCACGGTGTAGGACGCCGCCTACTTCAATATATGCAGACAAACGAAATACTCAATGCCGGTGCTGTGATAACGCGTTGGAGCGGTCCAATTCGCCTTGGACAAGAGCGTTTCAAGATTATGGAGGATCATCTGTGTGACTTGGCAAATCTGCTACAAGGGTAATGTTAAAGCAGCTTTAATAGTTAAGACAAAAGTGTTGTATTAACCAAGGGGGAAAAAAAGAACACTGATGTAAACTTTATTTAACCTTTGAGCTATCCGGAAATTTTAAATTTACAGTAAAAATTGTCTTGCTTTCCGGAAAGTTGGAATGTATTATATTACGGTTCTTCGATTTATTTCGCATATGTTAATATCCGGTGACATAACTTTTGTTTATATCATGTAAAAATGTACGTTTATTTTGCTTTGTCTAAAAAATTTCTCACTCTTCTTTGACCAAATCTAACAATAATCATGCCTCATAATAACAACTTCTTTTTCCGTCTTCTTTTATTTCTTTCTAATTCTACCTTTACCTGCTTTCTACTCGACGATCTATACGCGGATGGTGAGGGGTGCAATTGTAAACACAGGGGGAAAATTGGCTGTTTGAATCAAATTTTAAACTTGAAAAGAATGAAATATGTCAGAAATTAAAATAATATCTGCTAACTGCCAGGGGTTGAACGATATGAAAAAAAGAAAAGATGTCTTTCAGTACTTCCGACAACAGAAGTGTAATATTCTATGCCTAAGTGATACACATTTTACCGAAGAAATGGAACAAAACATAAGAGATGAATGGGGATAAGAAGCTCGCTTCAGCGCATACACTTCAAAATCTAGAGGAATAACTATTTTATTTAATAATAATTTTGATTTTGTAGTCCATGACCAAATTTTAGATAATTCTGGCAATTTTCTTGCATTAAACTTAACTGTTGAAAATAGGAAAATTAGTTTGATATGTATATATGGGCCAAATGAAGACTCTCCAGCATTTTACGAGAATTTATCAGAGTTAATAACCAAACTTGGCAATGAAGCAATTATTGTGGGTGATTTTAATCTGGTATAAGACCCAAACAAAGATTATTTTAATTATTTACATGTTAATAACCCAAAAGCCAGAGAGAAATTACTTAAACAAATAGATTACCATAATTTAGTAGATATTTATAGAGAGTTCCACCCAGAAGCAAAAAGATTTACTTGGAGGAAACCAAACCCTCTGAAACAAGCACGCTTAGTCTTTGCTCTTGTTTCCAACTCGTTCTTGACTGATATACAAAACTGTGATATTCTTGGAAGTTATAGATCAGATCATTCACCAATTTTACTGCCCTTAAGTTCAATGATTTCCTACATGGGAAAGGTTTATGGAAATTTAATAATTCTCTCTTAAAAGACCCAAAATATATTGAAATCACAAATAATGTTATTAATCAGGTTAAAAAACAATATGCACTGCCAGTTTATAATGAAGCCTGCATTAAGGAAATATCCAATTCTGAAATACAATTTACTATAAATGACCAATTATTTTTAGAAACACTTCTAATGGAGATAAGAGCTAAGTCAATTTTATATGCAAGCTATATTAAAAAGGAAAGGGTAAAGAAGGAGAAAGATCTAATGAAATTTATGGAGATAACGAACAGTATTCAAGCTCAAAAGTCCATTATACAATACAAAATAGGAGCAGAGCAACTTAACTTTAGTGATGAAATTACTGAAGTGGAAAAAAATTATGATAATAATGTTACTATTATTGCTGAGAAGAAAAAAGCATTAGAATCAATAAGGCAAAACAATCTTATGGGTAATATGATAAGGTCAAGGGCAAAATGGGATAGTGAAGGAGAAAAACCAACAAGTTATTTTTTTAAATCTTGAAAATAGACATTTTACTAACAAAATAATACCAAAAATTATTAAAAGTGAAAATAATGAAGAAAGGGAGATAACAAAACAATCTGAAATTCAAAAAGAAGTTGAAAAATTTTACAAAACCTTATATTTACCTCAAGTATTGGAGGATGTTATTAAATTGAATCTTAAAGAATCTCTTGAAGAATATAATGTTCCTAAATTAGATGACACTGAACGTTTTCACTTGGAAGGTGTCATTTCATATAATGAAGCTCTATTTGTATTAAAGACAATGTCTAATAACAAAAGTCTAGGTAGTGATGGTTTTACAGCAGAATTTTTTAAAGTATTCTGGAGAAATCTAGGTCATTTTGTAGTACGCTCCTTGAATTATGGCTATGAAATAGGTGAATTCTCTTCCACACAAAAACAAGGAATAATTACCTGCATACAAAAAGAAGGAAAAAGTAAATTTCATCTAAGCAACTGGAGGCCAATATCACTGCTTAACATTATTTATAAAATTGGATCAGGATGCATAGTCCACAGATTAAAAAAAGTTTACCTAAAATAGTAAGGTCAGATCAAACAGGTTTTATATCCGGGAGATACATTGGAGAGAATACACGTCTTGTATATGATTTGATGCACTATACAGAATTGCATGATATTCCTGGGATTTTAGTCATGATAGATTATGAGAAAGCCTTTGACTCCGTGTCATGGACTTTTATTCAAGAAACATTGGAATTTTTTAATTTTGGACCAAGTTTTTGTAACTGGATAAAAAATTTTCAAAATAATATAGTTTCATGTGTGTCTCAGGCAGGAATTTTATCCAACTTCTTCAAGTTAGGACGGGACTGTCGACAGGGTGACCCAATTTCTCCTTATATATTTCTCTTATGACCTAGATACTGTCTATTAAAATCAGAAATAATGAGAATATTAAAGGAATTAAGATAAATGACGCAGAGTACTTAATGTCACAATATGCAGATGACACAATGATAATTCTTGATGGCTCTGAAAAATCATTGAAGGTTACAATGCTAGAATTAGAAGAATTTTATAAAATGTCAGGTCTCAAAATCAATCAATCAAAAACCCAAGTTGACTGGATTGGAAGTAAGAAATATTCTGAGGATAGACTCTGTCCAGAATTGAAATTTCAATGGACAACAAACTTTAAACTTTTAGGCATTTATTATGATGTTGACTTAGCAAAAATCACAAAACTGAACTATGACAAAAAACTGGTTAAAATTAAGACCATCATTGAGCAGTGGAAAAAAAGAAACTTAACTCCTATTGGAAGAATCACATTGATTAAATCACTACTTATATCACAGCTTAATCATTTATTTATTACTTTACCAAACCCACCTTTAGGTGTTGTAAAAGACCTAAACAAATTGATTTTTAATTTTTTATGGAAATCAAATGTAGACAAAATAAAAAGAAAAGTTGTGACTCAGAAGTATGCACAGGGAGGATTAAAAATGGTTGACATTGTGTCTTACATAACAGCTTTAAAATCTACATGGATAAGAAGAATAATTTATAACAATAAAGTGGAAAATTTTATTGGAAAATAGTGTTGACATGGATAAACTTTTAAATACCAATAAGAATATATGGCACATTTACAAGAGAATGTGCAAAATAATTTTTGGAGAGATGTTCTGAAAGCTTTTCAGGAAATTCAAGAGAAAATAGAGATAAGAAATTGGCAAGAATATGCCTGCCAACCCTTATGGTATAACAACAATTTCAAAATTGAAAATCAAACAATATTCTACAAGTCCTGGTATGTAAAGGGAATAAAATATGTATATGATCTTTTAGATGAGAATAGTAACTTCTTATCATTAGACAACATTCAACAAAATTATGATATCAAAATTAATCATTTAACTTATACAGGCATACGACAAGCAATACTTGCAAATTTAAAGAAGTATAACTTTTGTAGAAATGGATTTATTCATAAACCAGAAATTCCATGCAATATCAAAGTCTTTGTATTAACCAAAAAGGATCAAAGCCTATGTATGATATACTAAATAAATCAGTAATAAAACCTGTGGGTATGGGAAAATGGACAATTTTTTTCAACTTGACAGATACAAACTGGAAAGAAATTTATTATCTGCCTTTTATAACAACCCAAAACAGTAAATTACGATGGCTTCAATACAGAATCAATCATAATATATTGACAACCAATAGTTTTATGTTTAAAACAGGTAAAATAGACTCTAACCCATGTACATTTTGTGAAGCAGAGGAAGAAACAATATATCATTTAATTTGGCAATGTCCAGTTGTACAACAATTTCTAGATGGTTTTGTTAGACACTGTCACCAAAAAGACATTTTATTAAATCTAGATGGTAAAACTTTTATATTTGGAGATACAAGTAATACAATATCATCAAAATCTTTAAATATACTGCTTTTGTCAATGAAACAATATATCTACAGAGTTCGTTGTCAAAACCTCAGTCTCTCTGTCCATGGTTTTCTGAATGAATTCAAAATTATTGATAAGTCATTGAAATATACAGCCAGTGAATGCAATAAAATAAATGAGTTTAACACCTCCTGGCAAAAATGGCACTCCATACTTTTAGACTAACATGAATAAACCCTGTCTTTAAACTAGTTTTGCTACCTCCTCTATTTATCTGTCATCCACATTCTCTTTTAACTCATCTTCTCTCTCTCCTCTCTCTCCCCCTCTCTCCCTTTTCCTCTCTCTCTCTCTCTCTCTCCAGCTCTCTTTCTCTGTCTCTCTCTCAAAAAAAATGAATACTACAATGAAAAGATTGTGTCAATTTCATATATTTTATGTTTGTATTATAGCATTGTGGAATTCAAATAAAAAAAAAGTTGGTTATATATACATATATATGACTGCCGTCATGAGAAAAGGGCCCTTAAGGTCAAAATTTCACAAATTGACTTTTTGATGAATTTTGATAGCCTGACTCTTTCTGAATGCAAATATACGTCAATTTTTAAAATATCTCACTTTTTCAGTATTTTATGAGCATTTTAGTTAGGCCGCTCCAAAACAACGTTGACGTTACATACTGAAAACGTAACGACGTCGAGTGCGTCAAATCAAGTTTCCATACATTCTTTAAAAAACTAAAATTTTAAAATAACCTTTAGTTAATCGTTTTGACATATATAAACTTGAGATTTTTTTCTTCCAAGCAACTAGTGTGTGATTATCATGAGAAAAGTCGCATACTATTTTCATTCTATATTAGAGCAGATTTACCGGTAGTAATTTCGTAAAGGGAGGGGTGGGGTCTAGACAGAATCTATGAACGGTTTTTATATAGTCTAAATTTAATTCTTGTTGAATTCCTTACAAGGTATTCTTTTTATAATTAATACTCTAGCTCAATTTATAAAAGATATAAAACACTTGTAATATTAAAAGATCCATATAGATGTCCCAGAAGGGTACCTCGTACAAATAAAGCGGGGCATCCCCTCGCAAAAGAGCACATCGATCCCGATATAAAAAAAATATTTTCGGATATTTGCACGCATTCACTCACCCACATACACGTACATTACTTTA